CAATAAATTTTTGTCCTTCCTTTTCCAAGCTGTTTACTCTCTCTTGCATATCTCTCATTTTTTCCCCCTATTTTTCTTCTGCCTCTCTTATTTGACTTTTAAAATCCTTCTTGAGATCCTCCAAGAAGGGTTTTTGAGCTTCAGACCAGTTCATGTTCCCTTGTGAGGTTTCAGATGTGGGTTTGTTGACAATACTGTCTTCTTCAGAATTTCTGCCTTCATCTTCACTGTCCCCATAATAAGAGTCTTTGTTCAGTGTTTGTTTTTGCTTTTTGCTCATCTTGTTTGCGTACAAAGCATGGGGGCACTATTCCAAGCTTCTCATGCTGGGAACTACACCTTGGTCACTAACTTTGTGTGCTGGGACTTCAGGTGCTGGCAGCTGGAGGCTGTTGGGGTCTGACAGTTTACCTGGTGCTGAGCTAGGATTCTAGTGGTAGTATCTGGCATATGCTGAGGCCAGGTGGGGTTTTTCTGGGTTTCCCCAGGGCTACATTGAAGCTCATGGAGATCTGACTGCTGGAGAATACCTGACCAACCAGGGCACACTAAGGCACATGGTGGTCCAGCTGCTGGAGGATGCCTGCCCAGCCAGGGCCCACTGAAATACAAGGATGTTCAGCTGCTGGGGGATGCCTGTCCACATGAGGCTACACCAGTGCATGTGGTGATTCTCCAAGCTAGAATCTACCAGTTTCTCTGGCTTGTGCTAAGGCTCGCATAGGGGTGGGAGGTCCTGGTGCTGGTGTTTGCCTGCTCTACCACCCTGGGGCTCAGGATCTCCCACTGGTTTGCTGAGGTGGGGCATACTTCTCGCTTGCTGGGACACCTCCTATCTAGACTGTGCTCTCCTTGTACCTGAGTGAGATGGACCTTTCTTGGAGGTCCTCCAAGTTTCCCGGGTTAAAAAACTGCTTCACTCTGTCTTTTCACTGTCTCCACTGTTCCAAGATTTTTCCTGGGGTGCTATTTTCATGTTTTTTTAGAGGTCAGTAAGGGAGAGTGAGAGCTTACTCCACCACCTTTGCTCCTGGAAGTCTTGGAAGCCAGAGATACTTCTAGGGACCTGTAAGTTTTCAGTTCTTCCTAGCTAGTATGATCTAAGGAGAGGTGTTTACTACTCTCCTGTTCTGTGCCCTGATCTGTGATCAACCACAAACATTCTTTTCTACCCTGGAACTATGAGCCTCCATTGTGGCCATGATCTCTGCTATGCTAGTGCTCCTCCTCACCCTGGACTGTGACCTGGATCCGAGTATGGGTAAAGCAACAGAGTGCTGCCTCAGTGCTAGATAAAAGACCCCTGCAATCTTCTCTCCTGTTGTCCAACCCCTTCACCGTCTGTGGGCTGAGAGCTCCGGAAGTAGCCACTGCTGCTGCTGATTCAGTCATTCCCAACTCCTGCTCCTGGTTTGCTGTGGTTGGAGCAATGATGGCACAGCCTTCACTGGACTATGCTCTACTCTCACCTGGGTGCAACAGACCTTTCCTGCTAATCTTCTAAGTTGTTTTCAGTGTCTTTGGGCTGAGAGGTCTGGAAACTGCCACTGCTGCCAGTGATTCAGTTAGTCCTGAGACCTGTTCTGGGTTTGCTGGGGCCAGGTCTGCACTGGCATGGCCTGCACTGGACTGGTGCAGTGAAATCTGGGTACAATTCAGAGAAGGAAGGTAATAATAATAATAATAACAATAATAATAGCTAGCATTTATATGGTACTTTAAAGAGCTTTACCAATATTATATCCTCAGAACAACCCTGGGAGTTAGGTGTTATTATTATAACCATTTTATAGATGAAAGAAACTGAGGTGGAAAGAGCTTAAATGCCTTGCAAAGGATCACACTGCTACTAAGTGTCTAAGGCTGGATTAGAAAGCTTGGAGCTTGTAGACTCTAAGTCCCACTGGAATGGCAAGAGTTCAGGGAAGATTTAGTAGGTCAGTCTGATTGGAAAGTAGAGTATGTGAAAGAGAAAAATAGGGAATAAGTCTGAAAAAAATAGTTTGGAGTCAGAGAAGGAAGAAATGTAGTCAGACTGGTGCCTTAGGATTGCAATCCTTCAGGCAATATTGCTTTAGGAGCTGTGTGGAAGATGTATTGGAGAGGGGGGAAACTAGAAGCCAGAAAACCATTAATAGGCTAGTTTAGCTTCGAAGGGAAAGAGAGAAATAGCCTAGTGGCTTGAGGGGTTAGCAGACCCTAGAGAAGATTTTTCTGTGCTTGCTTTTTTTTTTTTTAATGATAAGGGAGACCTGAGAATGTTTATAGACAGAGAAAGAAATGAGTGGAGAACTAAAAACATTGAAGATGCAAGACAAAGAAGGATGATTACTCTCAATAAGGCCATTCAGTAGACTGGAAAATATATGATCAAAGGCATATGTGCAAGGGCTAGCTTTGACAGGGAGGAGGGATCCTTATTCAGGGACAAGAGTAAGAAGATAACAAGAGATTCTGAAGTTGAAAGAAAGGAAACTAAGGGAGTTCATATTGGATGATTTATGGTCTTAGAGTCAAGAAGACTTGGGTTTGAAACCCACCTCTCAAGCTTATTAGCAATATAACCATAGGTCAATCACTTAATCTCCCTAAGTCTCAGTTTCCTAATCTGTAAAAGAGAAGATAATACTTATTGTACCTATTTCAGGGGGTTGTTATGGGAACAAAATGAGAAAATTTATGTAAAGGACTTTGCAAACAATGAAGATGTAATATAGATGAGTTACCATGATTATTGATGATTAGAGCTATGACAGGCATGAGAGATCAATGTCCAGCCACCTCATTTTAGAGCTCTAATTCTGTGAATAAAATATATATGTAACATTGTTCTATTATGCTAGAAATCAAAAGATCTTCTATAGGATACTCACTTATACCAAAAAAGAAAGTGCATCAAAATAAGAAAAGAATCTAGTTATGGAACCTACCTTCAAGAATGGTTGGGAGGACCACATGAGATAATTACTTTTTATGCATTCCTTGCACTTGTCTTTCTTATATCATAGTATTCCGTTTTATTTATGCACCAGTTTATTTACCTATGCCCCTTTTGTTGAGCATTTAGGTTGCTTCTATTTTGTGCAGTAGCAAGGATAACTGGTGTGAACCATGATTTCTGGCTCAGGTTTTGTTTTTCAAACACTCTCATTGTGTATTTTGAACAATACTGGCTATGACTTAACTGCTAAAACAAACAGCCTGTTCTGAGTTTGTACTCCATTTGACCATTTTATTCACTTTCTTTTGTTGTTGTTCAGTTGTTTCAGTCCTGTTAGATTCTTTGTAATCCCATTTGGGGTTTTCTTGACAAGATACTGGAGTGTTTTACCATTTGCTTCTGCAGCCCATTTTTCAGGTGAGGAAACTGAGACAAGCAGTGTTAAGTGACTTGCGTAGGGTCACGCAGCAAGTAAGTATCTGAGGCTGGATTTGAACTCAGGAAGATGAGTCTTCCTGACTCCAGCACCACCTAGCTGTCCTTACTCACTTTCTACCCTGGTGACATTCTTCCATGAGTTTCAGATTCTCTCTTTTGAACTCTCTTTTCCCATATCATCTCCACCTGAAAATCAAACAGCACATCTAAAATCAAATTGATTGCTTTTTTCCCCGAAGGCACCACCATCCTTCCAGTCACTTCAGTGGGTAAGCTTGGAATGATTATTGATTCTTGCCTCTAACTCCCTGGCCATACCCAGGCAATCTCTAGGTCCTGTCCATTCCATCTCCACAGCGTTGCTCACATCCCTCTCCTCTCCCTCACATGGCTTCCATCTTAGAGCAGGCCCTCACCAACTCTTCCTCCTTCCATTTTATTTTGAAGTTAGAATTCCCAGCTTAAGGCAGAGGAGCTGGCATTAAAGGGCCAGGCTCCTGAGAAAATGAGAGACCTAAAGAACACTTTTAATGAAAGAATGTCAACAAAAAGAAATGGAATACTTGATCATTATTGTTCTTCAAGATTAAAAAATATTCCTGTCCCTTCACTTCAAAAGTGGATCTATAGGTGTAGCACATTGTATATACTGCCAGACCTGTGTTGATGTGTTATTTAGTTGTGTTGAACTGCTGTTTTTCCCTTCTCTCATATATATATATATATATATATACATGTATATATATATATATATATAAACTATACAGGTATATCTATAGATGCAGCTATATATCTCTAGTATAGACATACAGAGATATAGCTATAGCTATGTGTGTGTATACATATATGTATATGTATTTATTTATATAAATTTGGTTTACCGAGGAGGGCAGGGGAGGTTGTGCAAAACCAAAAGCCATCAATAAAAATTATTAAGACAAAATAAAGTGAAAGTCTCTTTTGTCTTCAGTAAATTCTCTTTGGAACATTTAGGGTAAGACATAGAAGGTAAGGTTGTGTCCCTTCAGCTTTAGTGGAGAAAATACCCACATCAATGAGATCATCAATCTACTGAAGTATTTTGCTGTGGATGCCACTATCACATTCCAAAGCCATCCTTTTAAGTATGAATGGGGAAAAAAAATTCTGGCATTTTTTGCCATTGTGGACTTTGAAATTTGTTATATTCAAATATGAGAGATTTAAAACAGCCTTTTCATTTTCCATTTTGGGGATTTCATGTGTATCTTTTTATTATATTTTTATTTTATAAGTTTATTATATTAATTTTTATTGATATCTTAATTGTGAACTCCCTGAGGACAGGGACTGTCATTTGCTTCTTTTTGTATTCCCAGCACTTAGCACAATGCCTGGCACATAGTAGGCACTTAATAAATGTTTATTGACTAAATGACACCAGACCACTCTACATGCTTCCCCACTGATCTCCCATGACTCCCTCATCTTCCACACCTCAGCCCAAATAAACTTACCACGTTAAAGATCGTATAGTGTTATACTCCCTCTTGAAAGCATTCCTCTGACACAAGGATAAAATACAAACTCTTTAGTCCGCATTTAAAGGCTTCCACTACCTTACCCTGACTTTCCCTTCCAGAATGGATTTGGAGTCAGGAAGACTGGGGTTTGATTTTTCCCTCCAACGTACATGATGAGACCACAGGTAAATCACTTCACATTTATCATCACCTCATGCCAGAAAGGCTTTCTGTAGAAGTTGTGATTTTCACTGAGACTTGAAGGAAGCCAGGGAAGACAGGAGACAGAGATGGAGAAGAAGAAAATTATAGGCATAGGGGATAGCCAGTGAAAATGGCATATATTGGGAGATGGACTTATTAGAGTGGTGTCTGTGTCAAAAGAGAGAAGAAGATACATAGGAGAGATGTTACAGAGTTAGAATGGACAGGTCATGACAAGTGGTTGGATATGGGAGTGTGGTGAGAGAATTAGGACACCCAGGTTTCAAAACAGGATGACTGGAAGGATGGTGGTACCCTTGATAGCATATTTCTTTTAATTGTTGAAATGGTAATTCAGTATAGTTTTGTGCTTACAAATGTAAGAATAATTGCTATGAAGTATATTGTCGGTTATGCTTTGTGACGCAATTATATTTGAATGTAGTATGACATAGTCTTAACTTTATCATAGGGCTTGGGAGGAGAGAGATAATGAATTCTGTTTAGGACATGTTGAGTTTGAGATGTCTGTGAGACAGACAATTTGAGATATCCAATAGATGTTAAATCAGGAATTTGGGAGAGATGTTGTAGATGGCCTTCTCAAGGAGTTTAGCTACAAAAGGGAGGAGTGATATGTGATATTAGCTAGGGGGATGGATTTATCAGGGCACTATGCCCAGGAGCATTCTATGTCTGAAGGAGACAAAAGAGCCGTACCTGGTAGGCCAAAAATTTTGAACTTCATAGCTCAGAGAATTCAGATCTGAGGTGAATGTGAAATATCTGTTCATCAGTTCCATAGTTATCTTTACCTCCTGGGGAGTAAATTAGTTGCTAGGTCATTGTTTCATATTTTAATTATCTGTTAATATTCCATTTTGAATCTTGTTTGTTTTAAGCATTTGCTTTCTGGTGGAAGAAAGCAATAGTTGTCCTATACTTGATAACTACTTCTTACATTGAGTATCTTTTCTAGATGGAACCCTTCCTTTGGGGAAACCCTAGACATGAGCCATTCTTAAGATTCAGGAGATTTTACATGTTGAATGAGTGTATAATGAGCCACAGAGAATGAGGAAAGGCCTACTTATCTCATTCCTCCCAAAAAACAGGACCAAAGAGCAATTACAGACTGATGTCTACTAAATAAAAGAAGATAATCCCAAACAGCTTCACAACTCTTAAATACAATGGACAATGTTCGTGCTTTTTTGTTAATTTGTGTGCTCTTCATTTCTTTTGTCATTTGGTAAATAATGGAAGGGTGAGTGTGCATGTACAACCATTTTTATGTTGTCACATTGAGGGCTTAGGTTTTTTGTTGTTTATTTTGTTTTATTTGTGTTTTTCTAATGGAAAAATAATTTTTTAAAAGGTAGAAAGATCCAAACACAATTTTCACCTTTTCTTGTGTTTTGAATTTTAATGGGTCAGTTAGATGCTTTTTTTAAGCATCTTTTTAAGCATTTTTAAGAGAAACAATTTAATGAAACTACTTATAGTTTTAATTTGATTACATGAAAAGCCATTATATCTGACTGATATTTTTCCCATCTTTCAAAATTCAAGTTCTGCTTCCTCTGTGAAGGCTTCTTTGATCCTCTCAAGTTGATATAATCCCTCTTCTCTGAAAAACCATGGTACTTAGTTTTTAACTCTCTTTGACATGTGTTATATTATGTATTATAGACATTTGTGTATTTATCTTATTTTCCTCTAACTTGATTGCAAGCCCATTGAGGCCAAAGATAGTTAAATACAGAACTTGAAGCTAGAAGGGGTTTCAAACCTGTTCTACTCTGTATTCCTCATTTTACAGATGAAGAAACCTCAGACAAAAGAGAGATGAAGTAATGTGTTCATGTCCATACATGTAATAGTGAATCATGATCCTTAGTTTTTTACTCAATTCAGTATCCCTAGTAATGCCTGTACTCGGCAGTTAATAAATATTTGTTGAATTGAATTAAGTAGAAATCACTGCAAGTTTCCTGACCGCTGATCCTTATGATATCATTACTCAGCAACCATTTCTTTAAAATGTCAACATTCTACTGGCACAGCAGTGATGTCATCACTCAGCAACCATTACTTTGAAGGTTAACATTCTACTGGCATAGCAGTGCAGCCATTTAATAAGACACAGGATCCTTCTATGGAGTGGCCTTGGATTTGCATTTTTCTATTTTACCTGATACAATAAAAACTTTGGACTTCTTTATTTTCCAGATAAAGCATAGTACATCATATACTTCTATTTACAAGGCTTTATATCCTTTGTAAGACTACTTTGAAAAAAAGGTAAGAGGCATATAGCCATGAAAATCACAGCTGGGTGATCTGATCTCCAAGCAGCTTCCTGTTTTATAGTTCTTATGTATAGTCATATGTGTATATATATGTATATATTTGTGTGTATATACACATATGTGTATGTATATATACATACACAAATACACACACACATATATCCCTGCTTAATTGTAGCCTTCAGAGGATGGGGTGAGGAGGAAGAGGGAAAAAAGAAGAAAGCAAAAAGTGCACAGTAGAGAATGAAAGAAAACTTATAAGGAGCAAAGAAAAGATGGATATCTAAACACAATGAGTAGTATTTATTATATAGGCTTTCTTGAAATGGAAATTTATTGCTGTATATTTTGAATCCTCTCTCATGTTCTGCTGTATACATGACAGTGCTTTTTTTTTTCTTTTCTTATTTTGTATTATTTTAGTTTTAGTATTTTAAGTATTTTTTCTTTTCTTATTTTTATTTAAATTTAATAATAAAAAATTTTACAAATTAAAATAAATAAATAGTCACACTACTATGTTGTAGACATTATAAAGGCTCCAAAAACTGTTCAGTTAATATTTGGTGCCCATTTTATAGCACTAGTTTTTGGAGATAGGAGTAGAACCTGCCATATAGGACAACTGAATTATATTGGGACTTTTCTGATATAGCCAATACATTTTAGTAGACATAATACTCCGCATCTAGATTTTTTCTCAGAAGCAAAATCAATGAAATGCTCATTAAGAAAAGTTTGCCTTTGGAGCACAAAAGATTTATAAAATGGGAACATAGAAAAATGAAAAAGAATGTCCTCAAAGAATACATCACCATCTATAGGGTCAGACCTAAGCAGAGTCAGAGTACCAAGTTTCCTATGTGATATATAACTCTACGCAAATGTTATAACTTTTGAGCCTCAGTTTCATTAGCCAAAAAATGGGAAGTAATAGCAGCTTCCCTTTCTACCTCATAGCAGTATGAGGAGGATCAAATTAGACAAGATGAGAATACCTTTGAAGTGAGTCTGTAAACAGTAAAAGATTAAATAATAGAAAGGTATTATTATTAAGTCATCAGTATTTGAGGGACAGGCACCAGAAGACCCCAAATGTCTCAATCTATCACCACAGTCTTATCCTTCATTCACTATATAGTACTAGAATCATATCTGTTGGATTCATCTTGCAAATTCCTTAGTCTGAGAACAGCATTACCTTAATAGTCATTAGCATAATAGAATAAATTAGTTTAGCATTGCTTTAAAATACAGCAAAGATCTGTTAGAATCTTTGGGCCTAAACAAGGCTTTGAGTAAAGGTTGGAAGAGAGATGATTTGGAGAGGGTAGGACAGCGTGGGGTCTGGCAGTGAGGGTTGAGGGCATCTGGGGCACTGGATACCACATGGGGAAAGGAAATGAGAGGACACCAAAGACATATATTGCTTAATTATAGCACCAAATTTTCTAGGGATACCTGGCCCATTTAATCCATTCTTTTGCCCTCTTCAAGGTCAGTCCCATTAAAAGAACACAATTTTAAATACTTCACCATTTTACCTTAATCAAGGATACCTACCTTAAGGAATCAAAGAATCTTTCTCGGGACCATCTCAAAGAGGCCAGCACAAAGTCCCCTCCAGAGTTATAATGAAATACCTCAGTTGGAACAATCATATACTGAAATATACATGGTAGCTCACATATGTTACATTTTAAACAGGGATGGACCTATGCTAAATTGTGAAGGAGGTAAAGTTTATCTTCAGGAAACCTCTTTCTACCCTTTCCCCCAACTACATTTCTTTGTCACCTTCCCTCCTCTTAAAGGTGATGCCCAGTTGCTCTCTAGCAGCTCAGGATAGGCTTTACTCCCAAATCTGCCCTCCTAGACAAAATCCCAGTTTAAATTATATAATCCCCAGATTATGTTATACATTTTCTTCCTTCTCATCCAGCAAATTTTATGTGACAAGCAAGATTTTGTTCTCAGGAACTGATTAATTAGAACACAGATGTAAATGAATGATGTTATTCCTTTCAGATATCCCTTGTTTTAGCGATAGAGGCCTACCCTAATTTAATAGGCACCTTCTGTTCTGACCAGAAATTCCAAGGATCTTCCCCTTCCAGATGGATTCTTTTGTGAACGCAAAGTGAGCCATCTTTTGCCTCATTTATAACCTAGCCTTAATCACTGAATGGGTGTTGCCTGAGACAAACTGACATCTGGGAAAGACCTTAGCTTAAAAAAGCCAATGTCTCCTAGTGCATCTGGAGCCACCTCCAGTGGTCCTCAACTGTCTTGTCCAGAACTCTGATGACTGTGGAGCAGAGAGTGGGGCTGATGACTTTGCCCAGCTCTGTCTCATTTAAATCCAATTCACTTGCATGTCAAGACAAAACCCTCATAATGTCACTGGTACTCTGATAATGAAAAGATGAACAACAATTAATGCCTATAACCCAGTTGTATATGTTAATATAATTACTTAATAGATATGATTTATGTATTTGTATTTTTATATATGAGCAACTAGGTGGCACAGTATGTATGTATATACATATGTAAATATATATACAGATACATACATACATACATATGTGTGTATAAACACAAATTACTGCAACAGTTACAATCCAAACACTGTGTTTTCATCATCTTTTTAGAAGCAAAGCCCACCTTCTTGGCTCCAAGCAGCACAGGTAGCACAGTTCGACTGGGGCAGCTCCTAGGAGAACTTGCTAAATAGTGAGAAAGAGACTGCAGTGGAACCTCTCTGAAGACATTGCTATCAAATCTATGTGGACCTTGTGGCCTCCTCCTCCTTACTGACATATATATTGTTTCCTTACAGAACCAGCACTATCACCAGAAGGTCTGTTGGAAGCTTCTGTTACCTCTGAAATGGCAGGTGAGTTTTCAGGCCAACTAGATTCAGGAAAGTCTGTTACTAGCTGATGAAAAGAGCTGTGTCAGATCCTGATAACAAAAATGAGGCATCTCTTTTCTCACACATCTCGGAAAAACATCGCAGTGCTGAGTCAGGTACTCTGACTTTTTTCCACCTACTTTTCACATCCTTACAAGATATACCATTGTGCAATAGTTTCCTACAAATTTGGTTGGGGTTTTAGCCTATGTTCTCATTGAAAAAGAAAAAAATGTTCTGTTGGATGTCCACCTCCCCATAACTGATGAGGCCGTGTGTTTCACAACTCCTTTTATTCACACTTACTAGTGAAATTCATTAGAGTTAAGATTCTTTGAATCCTTGCCCCAATATAATCCTTGGCTTCATTACTAAGTTCTCTGAAGCAATTAATAATGAAACATTTTCTTCTGATGAAAATTAAAGCTGAGTTAATTTTGTTTCAGTATGTATGATATGTTTTATGGCTGCCTCTAACTGTAGAAATAGTCTCATTTACCTCATCAATATATTTTATGTCTCATATTCTAAACAGAATGGCCTAGAACTCAATAACAAAATGTCCTCTTGGACAAGTGGCAAGGAAAAAGGAGGTTAAAAGACTGAAAATATTAGCTCTATTCCTCACCCTATTAAGGGTAAGGTCAATGACCATCCTGCTTTAAGGTTACCTGTTAATCAGATATACTATAAACATGTTCATTTAAAAAAATTAAAATTCAACCTAAAATGTTCTAATTCTATTATTTAATCTAGGATTGTACTAGAAGAAAGAATATCCAGTATTAATCCAAGTCACCAGGAGGAGATAACATACATATTTTATTCCCTTCTCCTTGAAAAAGGATTGGAATAGGATTCAAGAAGATTGAGGTTTAAGTCCTGGTACTGTTACTAACTTTCAGTGTGATTTTGAATGTTTGCTTGGAGAAGAGATAATTTAGAAGAGTTTTGGTTTTGTTTTGTTTTTTTTTTTTTACTAATTCAAATATTTAAAGGGTTGTTATCAGAAAGTGATATTCTACTTAGTGCCAAAAGGGAAAATTAGGAAGCTGCAAGGAGTCATATTTTGACTCAATATAAAGAGAAAACTTCCTGACAATTAGAACTTTCAAAAGAAGAATGGGCTACCTTTCAGGTAGTGAGCTCTCTGTCACTGGAAATCTTCAGGGAAAGATAGATGGCCCTTTGACAAGAATATTGTTGAAGGAATTCATGCTTGAGATAGGAATTAGACTTAATCCCCTCTGAGGTCCTTACTGATTGAATGTTTCTGAATGGTTCTTTGTTTAGAGAAAGCATAATATAGAGGAAAGAATGCTACCCAGTCTTAGTCATAGGAGACCTAGTTTAGAATCCCATCATTGCTACTGTGTGACTATTTTTTTGTCCACAAAATAGTGATCTCTAATATTCCCCAAAGCTCTACTATTCAGTGACATTTGTTCAGGGATATAAATGAAGCATTTTTCTCTTTTCTCTTTCTTTCCTTCTCCCTCTCTCTCTGTCTCTCTGTTTCTCTCTTTCTCTGTCTCTCTCTCTCTCTCTGTCTCCCCTCCCTTCTCTTTTATCTACAGACATTATGAAGTTATTATATTCTTCTTTGTGTCTTAGAAATCCCTGGTTCCATAAAATTTCTTTATTGTCATCTTCTATTTACTCGTATTTTCAGCCTTTCCTGAACTGGAACTTTTGTCACCCTCAGCTTCCTGCCACTTTAGCACTCTTAGATGGTGAGATCTTGCTTCCTTTTGATCTGTATTATCTGGTGTCCCATCTCTAGTTGGTACTACTACTGACGTCTGTGCTTAGAATACTGGCAGGTGGCTCTAAGTTCAAATTAGTCCTCAGACACTTACTAGCTGCATGATTCTGGTCAAGGCACTTATCTCCTATTTGCCTTGGTTCCTAATCTGTAAAATGGGAACACACTGGAGAAGGAAATGGCAAACCACTTCAGTGTCTGCCATAAAAACCCATGTACAGAATCCATGGGGTCAAGGCATGTTGACCATGACAGAATGACTGAACAACAAGAGCCACAGCAACAACAGAGCCCTGAGTTTTCTTCTTGG